CCATGAGAAGTGAGAAGTAAAATATTCAGACTTGTTTAGAGTTGAGCGAGGAAACAATTCTGTAATATGCTGCATGTGCACCTTTTAAAAGCCACGAGCAATAAGATCTGGATATTAGGCTGAAAATCCCCCTTTCCCTAATTTAACTTTCAGTGACTTTTGTATCAGCTCTGTCTTCCTTGTGTTTTTAAAGTTATTTTGTAGGATACAAGAAAGTTCCCAGGTGCTTTATAAACTGGAGCAAAATAAAAACAAGCAAGAGTTACTTGAAGATTCAACTAAGTGGGATCCTGTGGTGACTTTGCAGCAATATAAAGTAAGTAAATGTAAAATCAGTTAGACTGCTAGACATACAGTTGATTAAAAAGTAAGAAGTATGGTGGTGGTTTTGAAAAGTAGCTAATTATTCTTGAAAACACCTGATATGTTAGGCACTGTCTGCATTATCAAATATTGTAGTGCCGAACGAGCAAATTTTCTTAAGCAAAAGAGGACTGAAGACCCAGTGTCCACCCTGAATGTGGGGTTAATTTGGACTAACTATAGTCCCATTTCATAAACTGGGAACCCATTAGTATTTGGAGGATACCTTTGAACTTAATTTGTCCAATAGCAGTTAAAATTATCTGCTGAGGGACTGCTCTGTGATGGGAGCAGAAGTGGCAGTAAGGGGGCATGACTGAAGATGTGCCACCAAAATGCTCTCCTGATTCAGATCAAAATATGAATGTCTTTGTCGTTAGCTATGAGGAGTTCAGGGGTTTTAAGCTGTGCTGTTTACTTGGACTTGAAATAAAGGTCTTATGAGCAAGAGCCTTCTGCTACTTCTACCAAAACACTGAAGAGAATGAATGGCAAAGTTTGGGCACAAAATTTTTAATATGAAGAATTCTTTTGAATTTGCCACCCATATTTCCTGGTTCAAGTCCCATGTATTATATGTATTTTTTTAAGTTGCAAAATTTTTGTCTCGGATTCACTTTGCTTGCTCTACTACTTTTCCAGAATTTAATACAGCCTTTTTTTTATTATTTTTTTTTATTTTTTTGAGGGAGTGAGGAATCTGCTTAAAAGTTTGTGAACCTTCATTTTATTTAGGAAATAAGAAACTTATCAATACCACATAGGCAGTCCTCCAGTTCTTCCAAAATGAATTATAAAATCATAATTTTGCTGTGTAGCACTTGAATTCAGGATAGTCTGCTTTGAATTTCTAGAGAAACTTTTTATTTGTAAGGTAGCAGAGAAACTGTTAATCTATCTTCTATGATCTTCAGGTTTTTATGTCATCTCTGTGTGACAGACTTTTTGAAGCACTGTTTCCTGGTTCATCCCATGCAACCAGATTTTCGACGTTAACTATTTTGGGATCAATAGCAGAAATATTTTCTGTTCAAAAAGGTGAGAGATCTAGTTGTAAAAATGGGAGATGCAGAGGAAAGTTCTTTTATGCTAACTAGTTAGTCTTTGCCAAAGTAAAACAATTATCTTGATTTCTGTGGGGTTTGCTGTATCACTTTCATGTTATCTGAAGAAGGGATTTTAATCAAAAATGACGTTTTGAAATTAATGCAAATATTTATGACCTGATCAAGATAGCCCTCATAAATAGGGTTTTTCTTGCCTAGAGTCAGTCTTTTTCAGCAAAAAAACTTTGAATCTTTTAAAATTATTGTTACTTTAATTTTTGTGTTACAAAGTCGTTTTTTGGACAAGATTTAGTATTTGGTGTCTTCACTTCATTCCTTTGTTCTAACTGAAGTTTAAAACTTTCTTAAAAAGGAATCATTTTCTAATATGACATTGCTCCAGGACAGGAATTTAAAGTTAAAATAACGGTTATCTTCAGTGCTGAATTTAATGTAGGTAGATTGCGTGTACTGTTTTTCTTGTATTACTGCGAGTCTGTCTTTATTTGGTAACCTGACGTTTTTAAAACATGTTAGGAAATACATGTATGAGTATTAAAATAGTGTTTTAACACTATTTTAGATTTCTGTTTCTATAAGCAAATGTAAGTACCATGCTTATTCTGAAAAAAAATACAGCAGAATTATTTTAGGCATTGATTTCTTTGAACAGGTCAGAGACAAGTTTTTCAGTTGACTCAAGAAATTGATTCTGCCCGTATCCAAACTTTGCTCCAGTGTTTGGCCAGTACTTTTGAAGAAGTAAAAGTTCTAGCATTTGAACTTTTAATTAAACTGCGTGATGTTGCATTTAATTTACAGGTATGTAACAGAAAAGAGTGATTGTATAGAAGATGTTTTATGTTATCACAGACTTGAGGTAATAGCTAAAAATTAGCTATTCTTTTGCTAAAGCTAAAACAGCTAAACTGTTCTTACAGTTTGTTATCTTATAGCTCCTTTATGCCATGGTTTTTAACATGATGGAAGATAATGATCACACCAAGCCTGTATTTGAAAGCAAGGGAGGTTTTCTAGGTATTTTGTAGGTAAAGCAAATGATTTGGCAACTGTTTCTCTTCCAGCACTGAAGTTGAGTTTCGTGCTACTTATCCTGTCCTGAGGAGACATAAATCTGAAGGTGCTTGTGGTAACTGAAGACTGTATCATGTTTTACAAAAGCAGTTTTTTTGACCCACGTACTGAGTTAGGTAGAAGGCATAATTTCTGCAGATTTGAAGTTAGACCAAGTAGTCTGAAGTAGCATACATCTCCAGTATTTTTCTGTATGTTTTTTTTGTAGCATCACTCTTTACCTAAGGAGGCTTGTTTCACAAATACGTGAAAGAGTTCAGAAAGTTCATTGAGTAGCACTCTGAACTGTTTACTAAACACACTGTAATACTAGGAGAGAATGTACTCCGAGATAGCTGCTTGAGAGGATATGCTTCTTTCAGATAGACAGATATCTTAAAGCAACAGATAATGCAAAGTCCTTCCTTAATGATAAGCTTCTAAGAGCTTGGAGCTTTTGATCTAATTACTCTAGTATCTCAAGGTGTTTAGCTCTGTGCTTGTTTTGCTGCGATTGGTTTCAGGTTTCCCTTTCTGGTTGTCTTTTGGAATTTTACTCTGACCCCGATTTTGCTATTTGCTATTATTCCATAAAAAGGTCGTTTTAAATTCATAGCTACCATTGATCAGATACTGCTTCCTAATAAGCGGTGCTTCTCTGCAATGTCCATTAGCAGAAAAAACACAACATGTTGAAAATGAAAAAAGGTCTTCTGTGAAGCATGTAGGGTTTGAATACTATTCCATAGGTCTCATCTCCATCTTCAAGGTGTATGTGACCTCTCTCTTTGCTGAATACATATACATTCTTATTCTGAGTGTACAAGTGTTTGTTAACAAGTATGTACCAGCTGCCTTACTGAAAAGCAGATTATCAGATTCCAGGATGTTAACTAGCTTAATTAAATCAATATGAAAATTTAATAAAATGAAGAATATTGTTTTATTTCAGGATTCTGAAAATCTAGAGCTCTTATTCCAAGTAGCAATGGATCTTAGCACAAGTGCCAAGCCATATGATTGTGTGACAGCTTCGTATTTGTTGAACTTCTTAATACACCATGAAGAGCTGCAGCGCATTTGTTTAGGAAAATGGGTTCAACTTAATTCTCAGATAGATCAAGATCAGTCAATCAGTACAGTGGAGAAGAACACCTTAGCAGGTAAGTTTTGGGGGAAATTAACCGCCCTCCTTCCATTTTCTAATTTTGTTTGAAACCTCTTTGTTGCTTTTCCTGAAGGCCTTTGGTAAAAAGTGTAGTGAGCAATTAGATGCTTACTGGATTTTTTTTTAATACTTCCATATATTTAAATACAGCTTGTGTAAGTGTAGTAAGAGAGCTTTATCTGTTAGCAGAATACTTCCACCCACCTTCCCCTTGTGAGTAGTTTGTTTGATATTTAAGGAATTGAGCTATGATCACTTTGTCACAGCTCTTGTTTTTGCACCCTAGTGTTTTTGTTTTTTCAGGATTTACTCTTACAAGTATTTTGAAGTTGCAGTCCATTTTGATTGTTTTGCTTTAAGTTAAACGTGCTGTTTTGGAAGCCTTTCTTCCAGTGTAGACTTCCTTTGTACTGTGACTTTCATGATACAGAAGCATGCTTAAATGAGAAATACCTGGCCTTAGGAGGGCTCAGGTAGTTATTTATACCAGTACTTGATTGGTAGATCTCTGACCTTTCAATTACTTTTCTCAGCATTGATTTAGAGGTAATTTTGGTTCTGCCAGATTGAATGCCATTCCATTTTCCATTGCTTCCAGATCTCTATTAGGGTTTTAAGCAGATACAGATTTGGTGTTAAGAACCAGACCCTTAGGGTCTTGATCCACTCCTTTTTATCTTAAGCCCATTGCATGTTCTTTGGAGAAGGCTTTTGTTCTTATCTTGGTCAGAGTGAAAGCGACATTGAAGCCCTGGTACCTAGCTGGCTTTTTACATTGTTTTCTATGAGAGAGGGTGACCTTGGAGGCACCTGAAGTGTACCCTTTGTGCGACTTTTATTATTACCTACCCTCCCTCCCTCCAATATTTCTTAAACAGCTCTGAGTTGCTAGGCCTCTTGGGACTGACAGGGCAATAATCTTTAGAGGACACCTGATTTCTGTGCATGTAGCTGGGAGATGCAGCGAGTCGGCAGATGTCACATCCCAGTGTCATTCATATGAAGCTGTGCAGGCCAAGGCCCAGAAAGGAGCCTGTCAACTCGTTTGTAATGAAGAATGAAATGTAAATTTGTAGTAAACTCAATTTTTTCTTTTTTTTTTGGGGGGGTGTGTGTTTTCCCTTCTTTGCAGATTACCTAAAACTGTTTTCCCTTCTTTGCAGATTACCTAATACCTTCTTCATATGCATCGAAATCATCCTTTTGAGACGTTTATGATTGCCATAATTAAAGCAAATTCATGCATTATCTTATTTCTTATTGTCACTGAGTATCTCTTGTTACTAGAGTGATCCATGGCTCCTTATTAGGATCTGCAGTTTATTCTGATTGTGCCACTGAAGTGCTGCATGGTAAATGTGTATGTCAAGTGGACATATGTAGCCTTGAAAACTGGGAAGCTTCTTTAGTGGCTAATTAAAATATCAATGTCTGACTGGCAGCTTTTGATCTTTAATATTCTACCGAAATGTTTCTTCTATGAACCCAGCTCTAAGGGCAAAGTTTGACGTTAACGCATATAGGTTACAGCTCTTGACTTCTTCAGGAGCTACAGGATTGTCCCTGAACATAGGATTTATCCTGCACCTTCACAGTTGCAGGTAGACTAACTTGGCTGTAGCAGATGTTGCTGGAATTCAGGTAACAGAAAACCAACAAGAACTTCTTTTCAAATGGACAAAAGACTGTGAAGTGTGAACCAATTACTGTGCATTTTTTCATTGAGTTACTACTTAAACAAGTTTTATTGCTGTTTAAAGAACCCCATTTTGCTTCTCAGAAAACACAATAGGTATATGTATGTTTAATGTAAATCTGTTTGTGTTTGTTTGTTTGTTTTCTTTTATTTCAGTTATCAAGCTTTTGTTAGCGAATGTCGAAGAAGAAATATTTCAAGCCAAAAAGTCCTTGCTTCAAGCAGCAGCATCATTCCCAATGTATGGGAGAGTTCATTGTATAACTGGGGCTTTGAAGCAATTACCTTTAAGGTGAGTAGCTGAATTGTTAAGCATGCTGCTAGAACTACCCATGCGAACATAAAAGCATACAATGTTTTTCTTACCTAATTCAGCACTTTTGTCTTCTATCGCTCTTAGTAGCTTTTTTTATTAGATGCTTTCTTTGTATGTCTTAATCTCAGTTTTAAAACTTGTCAAAGTGTACCTCATTTACAGTTTTTGTAAATACTGTTGCAGAATTATTTGTAATTTTAGTTGTTTCTTTTGAATATAAACTCTTTTTATATATAATTATTTTATAACTATATATAGTTCATGGTTGTGTGTGTGTGTGTTTTTTTTTTTTTAATTTAATTAATTTAATTAATTTTGAAGTAACTTGGTATTAAGAGCTGAATGGAAGCAAATGGTGGCCAGGCTCATTCTGATGTCGTACAAACTCTCTGAGGTAGTGTCTCCAGTAGTGCAAAGCTCATCCCCAGAAGGTCTTATTCCGATGGACAGTGATTCAGGTAAAATTATTTATAGTTGATTCTGAAGTTCTGTTTCTTTTTCCTAACCGTTAAGAACTGTCTTTTCATTTATTTACTTATTATTCAACTTAGTAGTGTTGGATAACTGATTTTTTTTTCTGTTCTTAATACAGGAATTTAACCTGTCCAGTTGCTTTTTAATGCTTAGCTGGAGTCAGCCTAACCATGATCTCTTTCTCCTCACCCCATCCTACTGATAAGCCCCAGATTTTTTTAAAGTTTTTTTTTGGTTTGTGTTTTTTTTTTTTTTTTTTTTTTTTTTTTTTTACAAGCCAAGCAATTAGAAGTTTGGTTTTTTTTTTTTCCAGTTTAGGCCAAGATTCGCTTTAATTTTAAGAATGCCTTATTGCTTATATCTGATAGAAGCAACACTTCCTGAATGAAATTGGACTTCAGTTCCACTTCTTGTTTAAATTACGTAAGGACATGGATAGTTGCTTCTTTCCTTTTTAAAAATGCTTGGAGATGCATTGCTCTTAAGATGCCTGCAGCTCCTGAGTTCAGCTCATTGGAAGTCCGTAGGTAGCAAAATTCGTATCGGGGACGGCTGGTGCGTATCTCTGAGCTCTAATGTCTAGTTGGATTCTTATTTTGGGAGAAACCAAGCAATGGCTTCCTGAGATTGATCTTGAAGTGTGTCAGGACATAGCCTCACCATTTTGTGAGCAAAAGTGATGGGGAGCCTTCGTCCCTTCTAATCTTGAAGCTGCCCCTTACCCTACTATTTCTCAAGTCCTACAGCTCTTGAAGCTCTCCTGTGGAAACTCTGGTATGTGTTTTACAAAAACAGGGAAGTTGGTCACTTTGTATAGCCCTTTTTTTCTTCCTTAATCCTCATGCTTATCATAGTTTTACTTTTGTTGTTGCTGTTTGTTTGTTAAAAACTTTTATGCTTAAAATGAGTAATATAAAAAGTTGGAATTCAAAAGGACTTAAACGGTCCTCTTGTTGAAGGTGTAGAAACAGCAGATCGACTGCAGATGATTCTGCATGAGATACAGCCACAGGACACAAATGATTATTTCGTGCAAGCAAAGACTTTGAAAGAATACTGCAAAGTAGAATCTGAAAAGCTGGTTGACTGCAAGCCAACAGAAAATATTTGCACAGAAATAAAAGGTATTCAAATACTGAATTAGTAATTAAAGCAAGATATTCTGTATAGAGTAGACATTTTACGTGGGTGATCAAAGTTGGAAGTTATTT